CCATCCATCCTTTTCTTCCCTTCACTTCTCCTCCTCTCCCTTCTCCTCCCCTTCCTTTCCTTTCTTTTATTTATTTTTATCCAAACTGATACTTAAGTTTAAAAAATAAAAAAATAAAAAAATAAAAAAATAAAAAAACAATATCTTCTTAAAAGTACTTCTTTTTGCTCCAGAAGCTTAGAAGCTCAGATTAATCTTTAAAGAGCCACCTTTGTTTTCTTCTTTTTATTTAAATTGTCCATAAAGATAAGCTTCTTCTAATGAAATTTTATCAATTTTCAACATTTTACTAGAAAAATGGAGAGAAAAATAAAAATTAGTATTTTTCGAATACAGAAGTCATTACCTGTCACTGACTCAATGTTGGGGAAGGCCGAAGGCAGGAAATTTTATATTGATGCACCAAGTTCAAACTGCATCAAACAAACATACGTTATTGAACTGGAAAAGATTAAAGTGGAAACAAACAGAACAGCTTTTCTAGTTGTGGAGCTAGAATACCTAATTGACTTCTAGAAGAAAATTAATGACGAGCCAGATGGGTAGATATAAGCATTGCTTGCAGTGTGCCCACCTTCATCAATTTTTTCAATTGCACTTGTTGATGTCAATCAAGAAGTCAATTTAAGATAGAAAGAAACAGATAACTAAAACTCTAACGTATTTGGACTCTTTTCTGCAAAAATATGTAATATTGATGAATACACCAAAACAAATTAGTACTGATATCCAAAAACATGTTGGCCACAGCATGAAGTTAGAGTAAAAAAAATTAGATGACACCTAATAAAATTTATCAGAGAAAGTAAACGAACAACAATGAGTTTACCATGTTACTAGGCACTTCAGTTAAAGATGAAAATTACCATGTCACCATTTTTCCAGAGGAACTGCAAAACAGAATCTGATTTATCTCATTATGACTCCATGTGATAATAAGGAAAAAGGAAAAGTTATGCTTTTAATCATATATGAATAGAGAAAATACTAAACATAACTATTGACTTGATGCACTTTCACTTCTCCAAGTCCTGGTTTTATTACAATAGTCGTGATGCAAAGAATAAGATTTCAGACCTAAGACAATATAACAAGAAAATAATTAGTGCCTGTGCAACACCAATACCATACCCAGGAAAGATCCGTACATGTTTATGTTCAAAACAATCTGATATGCGGAGAGAGATGCTATTCGGGAGACTCTCTTAGATAACATATAAAGGAGTTCATTTCTATAAGACACCCTTTTGTTGCATGATTGCATCAAACAGGCTGGAAATATACTTCATTTTCTTGCTTTAAGATTCACTGACTGGTAAATAAATTCAATACCGAGCTATTAGCTTTTAAATCCTAGATCTGTTGGTCATGAATTTATCAACAATTTATCCACACATCACTATAAATCTTGTGCCTCCAACAATTTCTCGTTATAGTTATGCATGATACTTTCAATCTTCATTGTATTACTCAATGCATTCAAGATGCAAGCTAGCTCCTCTGCAACAAGTTCAGATGATCCTCTAATTGAGAACTCAACAATGACTCCATCTACTTCAATCACACTGCAGCCTGGGACTTGCTTTTTAATCCCCCTTTCCCTCATTAAGGTTCTAGTTCTCTTGACATCTTCAAATCTACCAGCTTTAGAATAGACATCACATAAGTTCATATAAAAAGCATGGTTTGCTGGTTCCATAGCAATCAAATGCCTTGCCACCCTTTCTCCTAACTCTACATTCCCATGCATTTGACAGCCTCCAAGTAATGCTCCCCAAACAAAAACATCAGGATCCACTGGCATACTTCTAATAAGCCCCTCTGCCTCCTCAAATAGCCCAGCTCGGCTAAGAATGTCTACCATACAAGCATAATGGTAGACCTGTGGTTCAATCATATAACCATGTCTCATCATGTCAAAACACCTGCGGCCTCTCTCTACTGATCCAGAATGAGCACAAGCTGATAGGAGCGCAACAAATGTCACATGGTTCGGCCTCATTCCAAGCAATTCCATCTCTTCAAATGTATCAAAAGCCTCCTTACCATACCCATTAAGTGCAAACGCAGAAATCATAGCTGTCCAAGCTGAGATATCCCTTTTAGGCATTTCCTTGAAGGCTGCATAGGCACTTTCCACACAGCCACATTTACCATACATGTCAACCAATGCTGTGCCAATTACCAAATCACATTCAAGGCCACTTCTCCTCAAGTAGTTATGCACCCATTTGCCCTGGTCAATTGCTCCAAGATAAGCACAAGCTGAAAGCACACTGGCAATGGTAATTTTATCTGGTCTAACAACATCATCACTTGAATTCTGCATTTCATGGAAGATCTCCAAGGCCTCCTTTGCCCAGCCACCTTGAACAAACCCTGTGATTATCGAATTCCAAGTAATGATATTCCTCGTATCCATCCTCCTAAACAAATCCAACGCCTCACCAAGTTTCCCGGACCTCAAGTACCCGATAATCATCGCATTCCAAGACACAACATCCCTATTTGGCATTTCATCGAACACTTTCCTCGCACTATTCAAAAACCCACAAGCTGAATAAAAACTAACCAAAGAATTTTGAACAAAAAGGTCACTGTCCAATCCAAACTTAATGGCTTGCCCATGAATACTGCGCCCTACAAAATCATCAAGCCTACCCGTGCATTCCTTTACGAGGAAAGGAATAGTGAGGGTATCAGGTCCAATTCCGTTACTAAGCATTTGCTTGTATAGAACTAAGGAATACAACAAATGGGTGTCTTTTGAATCATTGAATTTGGAGGCATAGGCTCTAATCATGATGTTATAAACAGAGATTTGTGGGTTCTCTATGAGTCTAAAAACATTGGTGGCATAACTGAGAGAACCAGAGTCTGAAAGGGCACAGAAGAAAAGGAGACGACTGATGAGGAAATCATAGTGGTTTTGGGGAAGATATGGAGAGGTTATGATCTGAGCATGGATTTGTCTGAGCTCCCTCATGCTCTTGCATTGTTTGAGCAAGCGGGAGATTGTGCTCTTAAGGGTTTGCTTTTGGGTCTCAAACATGATGCTGAACTGGTGTAGCAGGAACTGAAATTTCAGCGGGAGAAATCGATATTCAATATATAAAAACTACTGTACCTCTGTCTGTATTGTAATGTGATTTACGTTCCGGACAGGAGGGAGTAATTATTACTAATCCTGCTATGATTTATTAAAACAATGATTTATTAAATAAGAAACTAGATATTAACTTATATTGTAAAAAATTAAATAAAAAATGTGTTATTTTAATAAATTTTTATTAAAAAATAAAATATCTTAATTATTTTTAAAATATAAATGAAACTATTTTATTTTTTATAATATTTTATTAAAACAATATAATTTTAAAATATTTTTTATTTAATTTTTTACAAATCTAATTAATAAACATTATCTTTCTTATTAAAACTACCTAATTTTTTTAAATGGAAAAACATTTTTCTCAAATTACATTTAATTCAGCTTGGCAGGAAACCTTCCAAGGAGCAAAACTCCATTAAAAACCATGAAATAAACTCAAAGAAATCTCCGTGTCATACAAGTAAAAAATTTTAAATTTAAATCACATGATACATAAATAAAATAAGTTAAAAATAAAAAAAAATTACCTTTTATTATATAATTTAAAATTAAGAAAAATAATTAGCAGATGCAAAAACATTGCCCCTCATAACGTAACAAAAAATTAAAATAAAAAATAAAAAAACTATGAATTGAAATTAATAAAAAAAATGCGAGGTTAGAATACGTTTTAAACATAGGAGCTGTTGGGGCATCTCCCTCTTTGTGGTGCAGCATGTACATAGAGGGTAGTTTTAGCTGGATGGGGTTGCTGAATGGAACCTTAAAGAAAGCCTTCAACCCCTCGGCCTGCTCTTGCTTCTCTGTAGATCATGAGTGCTTCTTCCATTACCTTGGCTTGAGCCAGCAACTGAGCTCGTTTCTTTCCAGATGGATGGGTAGAAAGATAATCTCTAAGTGTTGAATCACCCGAGATCTTTCCTAACTTCTCATACACAGAAGGTGCAACTCTTGGGTCAAAACCAGCAGAAGCAATCAATAACAGTCCAATGTAATCAGCTTCCATTTCCATCCTGTCATGGACAGTAATAAAAGGATAAACAAGTGAAATGCCATCATTCAATCATACTCCGACTCAAATAACATCCATCGACTGTTGGTTTAAAAAGGATTTTGATCGTGTAAACAAACAGATACAAATTTAGATCTCAGCAGTATCATGTAATTTAGTTTCCTCAGAACCACCAAAGGTGTTGAGGCAGCTTCATAGCCAGGCTGATGCCATTAGACTGTTCATCATTCTGAATTTGCATACTGATTTACATGCTGTGCTTATGAGAACTAAAAACACCTATGTCCCCTAAACAAATGGGTCCAAACATGCTACCAAAGACATACTCCTTCCAGTAGCAAAAATCGACCAAAAGAACAAGAAAAATAACAGCAAAACTATCCACCAAGAAAACCTCTCCTATGATGATTCAACACCTAATAGAAAAGGACAATAATTCAGAAAAGGGCATGCACGATTTTGTTGGGTATCATGGCCAGGCACAGATGAAAAAAAAAAAAAGATGCTGGAAAGACTATCAAATATCAGTAGATAACCCCCCAACCCAAATGCTTATGGGAATTCAAACCCCTATGTCATCCAAGCAACATGACCATGAATCAAAAAAGTGAAAAACTACAAGAGAAATTTTGGTTTACCCTTTTCAAATTAAAACTGCTGTATTCCCTTCCTTGAAAATCAACAATAAGAGGACTAAAAG